CCCCAGAGCACAGAAAACACTCCCCAGAGCCCTGAAAACACCCCTGGAGAACCGAAAACACCCCCTAGAGCACTGAAAATAATGCCAGAGAACAGAAAATACCCCCTAGAGCACCAAAAACACCCCCCGGAGCACAGAGAGCACCCCCAGAGCACAGAGAGCACCCTGAGAACACAGAGAGTATCCCCAGAGCCCTGAAAACACCTCCCAGATCACCAAAAACACCCCCAGAGCACAGAAAATACCCCCCAGAGCACCGAAAACACCCCCGGAGAGCCAAAAATACCCCCAGAGCACAGAGAGCACCCCCAGAGCACACAGAGCACCCTGAGAACACAGAGAGTATCCCCAGAGCCCCCAAAACACCTCCCAGATCACTGAAAACACCCCCAGAGCACAGAAAATACCCCCAGAGCACTGAAAACACACCCAGAGCACTGAAAACACCTCCCAGATCACTGAAAACAGCCCCAGAGCCTCAAAAACACCCCCCAGAGCACACAGAGCACCCCTGGGGCACAGAGAGCACCTCCAGAGCACCGAAAACACCCTTGGAGAACCGAAAACACACCCCAGAGCCCCAAGAGCATCCCTCAGAGCACTGAAAACACCCCCCAGAACACACAGAGCACCCCAAAGCCCCGGGGACATGTCCTGAGCAGGTCCTGGTGATGCTCTGCACAGGGAGCAGGTGTTGGGCACTGGGTTGGGAGCAAAGGGAGCTGGAAAATGTTCTGTGAGCAGCAAAAGGCAAACCACGAGTGTCCCGTGAGGAATTSCTGCTCTGGGACACAACRCAGAGCTGCTGATYCRTGTGCTGGGGGTKCTGGGGRTTCYGKGGRTTCTGGGGGTTCTGGGGGTGCTGGGGTGAACCCTGAACTCATCACCTGCACCCAAACCAGACCAGGAGGCAATAACAGTGACAAAATGATGCTTCTGTCCTAATTAAAACCGAAGCACAGCTCACTGATCATCTCCTGGCCAGCAGTGGGGGCTCCCAGCTGCTGCCAGCGGTGCTTGGCCACGGCTCAAACCTTGAGCTTGCAGCCCTTTGCCATTCCCAGCAGCAGGAGAACAATTCTCTGAGCGTGCCAGGGTGCCTGGGGCTGCTCCTGGTGTTCCCTGATTTCCTCATTCCCATTTTTTCTCGCAGGTGTCCTTGGAGTAGAGAGAAGTTCCTCTGTTTCCAGCAGAGCACCCACTGGGAGCCAAGGGAGAGCTGTTGGTGTTTCAAACCAGGCAGGATTCCCTGTTTTATGTCATTTGGGGAAAATCCTTTCCTTCCAACCCCCCTGAACCTGCCTTTAAGGTCCCTTCGAACCCGAACCATTGTGGGATTCTGTGGAACAGTGGGAGTGAGGCCGCTTGCTTTTGATCAGCASAAGGGAAGTTTCCACTCTCCCTTCCCAAACCGCCCCCCTGATCCCCAACAATCGCTGGGGCTGCTCTCCTCACCCTCTCCCTTTTGTACCTTSTCCTCTGGAGCATAATGGAGCTAAATATGAATGGTGCCAAAGGAAGAAATATCGAGGTTTAAGTGAATCTCTAAGATAGCCCTAAAGTGAGCCCTTGACTGGAGCCTTTATCTCATTGACTCGCTGGAATGGCTCTTTTTTATCATCCTATTTATGGCAGCGGCCCTAACAGAGATAAATAGGCCCGGAGACAATAACACACTTGCAGAGAGCAGCACGGGGAAGTCTTGCAGCCTTCAGATCCCACTGGGCTGGAGAGATCCTTTAACAACCTCCTGGAGGTCTCTGAGCACTCCCAAAGAGAGAAGGATCCCTCTCTCCACGGATAAATCACCTCCTCCTCCACCCCTCACCCTTTTAACGTCCCTAAACACGGCGTGAGTGTCACCCCCTGACCCCCCACCCTTCCATGAAGCAGGAGCAGAATGAAAGGGGAGAGATGACAAATTAAATACAAACACTCGGGGCCTCCCAGAAAAGATGACAGAGGCTTCAAGGAACAGCAAGATAAACTCAATTATTTACAGCTTAAAAAAAAAA